TTGTGTATGCTGTTCAGTGTCAGGAGGGCTGTGATCAGTCTTACATCGGGGAAACTAAACAGCCACTGGCCAAAAGGATGGCCCAGCACAGAAGATCAACATCATCAGGCCAGGATTCTGCGGTCTACACTCATCTCCAGGCCAGCGGTCACTCTTTCAGGGATGAAGATGTTCACATCCTGGACAGAGAGGAACGATGGTTTGAGAGAGGAGTAAAGGAGGCCATCTTTGTGAAGAGAACCTGTCCATCTTTAAACAGGGACAGAGGCCTCAATTTTCAACTGTCCCCCTCTAACAATGCTGTTAGTGCATCACTCAGCCCACTGTGAATATCAATCGACCATCAGGGCTCTATTGTTAGGGCTCTAATGATCCATTGTTATGTGATGGAGATGGTCAATGGTCATTCATTGTCATTGCGATTGTCCTTTTTTTACATGTGAATAGCTAGTTCTGACTGTCAGCAGCAAACTGGGTGATCCTCTATGAGAAGGTTTTATTTTTTGCAGCGCCTCAGGTTGAAGAAGTCTTATGGAAAAAGACAAAAGGTTTCAACAAAGAAGAATCCATCCAGAGGACCCGACTTAACCTCGTTAGACTTGGTAGTAATGGTGTCTAAAAAAATCTAAAACGATGTCTAAACAGTGCCAAACAATTTCAGAATAATGTTCCTCAAGAACAAAAACCTTCAAATATCCCATCATCTACAGTTCATAAAATTATCCAGATTTCAAGAATCTGGATAAACCTCTGAGCTCAAAGGACAAGGCTGAAAGTCTCAGGGGCCACAACATTAAGAACAGGTCTGGTTCTGTTCTGGACATCACTTCATGGACTCGGGAACATGTCCACAAATCCCTGTAAATCCAGTTCACCGTGCCATCCACAAATGCTGCTTAATGCTCAATGTTTTTTCTTTTTTTTTTTACACAATTCATAATTATGAAAGCTCTTTATTATTACACTGCAGGCTGTTGGTCAACAGTGACATCAAATGTTTGTCTGACAAGCCATAATATTCATCACTATTTAGTGCGGTTTACCTTTGTAGAAATCTTGTCAGGTATTGTATTAACAGCCAGTCAAAAGGAAATTATAGTTTTCACTCAAAAAGAGGCGGGAGCTTTGCACAGCGGGTGATTAGCTGGGTGTGTTGCTCCAGTCCATCGGTCTGAATGTTTTGGCTGCCATGTTATCCTTGTCATAAGTTAAATCCAGCGTACTCATCAATTCATGTTACCATTTCATTTGTTTGAAAATTGTCTTTGAAATGACTGTTCTTAGTGTTTTATTTATTTTTCCTGTTTTCAGTTGCTTGTACTGTGTTTTACGTTTGTCTAAATTTCTAAATGTGAAATCAAGCTATAAAGAAGAACATTTAAATTGGGCTAAATGTCTTGTCAAAGTCCACGTCCTGTCTAAATGTAAAGAACAATCAGTTCAACCCTGGGGGCACCTTAATTTTGTGCTCCACCTCTGTCCCTTGGACACAAATGCCCTTTTGAAAATGGCCTTAGAAATACAATGTATCAAAATAGATCTTCCGATTTTAAATTAACGTCATTTTTACTTCAGTCCTTGCCTTACATAAACTTTTATGAACTTTTGGAATTTTACATAATAATAGTAATTAGGGATGTACGATATTGGATTTTTTGCCGATATGCCGATATGTTAAAACTTATTTGGCCAATAACCAATAGATATTTTTTATATACTATCTTTTGTCAGAACATAGCCCTCTTATTTTGGCTTATTTGCTAGAAAATTTGTGTAACAGCTGTAAGAGCTGGTGACATACAGTATATTCAGTAACAGCCATATGCATAGCACTTTAACTTATGAAAGGTGTTAAATGTTATTTATTAGCATTAGTCACCTGCGATGCTGTCTCACCTGTGGAGGCTTGTTCCAGGTTCCTATAGCTGCAGTGTGGGATCCTCTGCACTCTTGTGCATGAAGGACAGACTTTTTAAGTTCAAAGTTTTTGTCTATCCATTGTGTCATAAGACTAATCATGCTAACGGGCTAACACTTGACTTCCAAATGTTTGTGGTAAAACTCACCCAAGTGCTATCGGCTATTAGCTTCTCAATTGCGTTGGAAATAACGGCTTGTAACTCGGGTAAGCTGCAGGCATCCTTGACACTGGGTTGTCATACAAAACCAGTGTCTTTTATATTGGTGAGTCATTTTGATGAAATGGCCAATGTCCGATATTTAACTTTACCGCTAATATCGGCCGATACCGATACTATGCCGATAATATTGTGCATCCCTAATAATATAATAATAATAATAATAATGATGATAATGATTATAGTAATAATATACGAGTAATAATAACATAAATGTCTGTTTTTGCAACAACACAAAACTACTTTAGTTTTTATTATAGTAATGGGGGGGGGGGTCTGAAAGATAAAAACAAAATTTTTTTTTTCCAATTCTAAACATGTAAAATGAAAATTGTGTTTCTTGGTTGGGAGGTGGGGTGAGCCTGGTCTTGCCAAAAATTTACACTGATTTTTGTCCCCGTCACAGAACAAAGGAGGGAATTTGAAATGACCTCTGTCCGTTCAACTCATGAGCTGAAACTTGCAAATAAGCAACGTGGCGACTTCCATTTTGGTGCGTGGCTGCATCTAGATGTAAAAAAGGTCACTATTGGAAAATTGGGTTGCCACATCAAAATTCAAGATGGCGATATAACAAACTTGTAGCTTGTCCTACTTTTGCACTTGGGCGGTTCCACTTCACTTCAAACTTGAGTCCTCTACCAGAGATCTGGGAGCTTGAGGGTTCTGTTCAGTATCTTAACTGTTACTAGGACTGTGCTTTTCTGGGCAGAGATCTCAGAGGTTGTTCCTGGGACCTGTTGGATCCACTCTTCCAGTTTGGTGGTCACAGCACCAAGTGTTCCAGTGATCACTGGGACTACAAACACTTTGACTCTCCACAACTTCAATATTTTCTCTTTCAGCTCTTGGTATTTCAGCTTCTCGTGTTCCTTCTTCCTGATGTTACAATCACTTCACATCTGTCAGCACTGCCTTCCTCTGTAGCTGGTCGACCACCACAGTGTCCGGTTGGTTAGCCATCGCCTGTTTTTCGGTCTGGATCTGGAAGTCTCACAGTATCTTAGCCCTTCCATTTTCCACCACCTTTGGTGGAGTCTCCCACTTTGATTGTGGGACCTCCAGTACACAGTACAGGTGTTCCTGTATTATTCTAGCTACTTGGTTATGGCATTACATGTATTCTTTGCCTGCCTGGATCTTGCATCCTGCTATGGGTTGGACTGTCTCAGGGGCATCTTGGCACAGCCTGCTTGGGTCTTGTCTGGTGTGGTAGACCCCAGTCTCTATTGCTCTTGTGCTGAGGACCTGTTCTTGTGCAGTCATGATAAGTGCCCCTGTTCTGTCCTTCAGTCCAGCCCTCTCTAGCTACTGGTAGGATTTGTTGATATCAGCCACTTCCTCATCTGCTAGTGGTACATGCCATGTAGGGGCTCATCTTTTCATGATGGCTCCTCTTGTTCCGCCTCTTCCACATTGGGTTTCTGCTGCCTGAGACATTCACTTATCCGTTCATCATTGGGGCTTTCCTCCTGATGTACTCGAGGATCTTAGTTATTTCATCCATTATTCATTCATTCATTCATTTAACCTTTATTTATACAGGTTAATCCTATTGAACCTCGGGATTCATTTACAAGAAAGACCTGAATTTTAACAAAGAGTCATGACAACAATGACAACAATAGACCATCATAAAGGATGCGTACAAATTTAAATTAATTTTTTTTTTATCAAGCAAAAGTAAAATGGTTATTAAAAGGATAATTAAAAGGAAAAGTAGCAAAAAAAAACAGGTAAGTTATAAGGGTGTGTAGAATAATAAAAACAGGAACATGTCTGCATTGGTTTTTGCCAGGAACTTAACAGATGTTTAAAGCCACTTGGAGAGGTCAAGGTCAAGAGTTTCAGATCTTTTTACAAGATATTCCAGGTGTAGTGGCTCAGATGCTCACTAGACCTCTGCCTCCCTCCTTTCTCTTAGTGTATAATCTCAGGATGCTGGACTTGGGGTGAAACCCTCCATGCATTGTGAGAAGCTTTCAAGTCTTACATCCATCTTCCATTTCCTTTGGCCAGGCTATTGTACCAGCTGAATATCTGATGATTGGCATGGCATACGTGTTGATGGCTTGGACTTTGTTCTTGCCATTCAGTTGGCTGTTCAGGACTTGCCTTAACCTCTGTAGGTTCTTGGTTGTGGCTGACTTTCTTTGCGACCTCATCACGATTGTCATTTGCCCGTGGGATTCCAAGGTATTTGTAGCTGTCCTGAACATCTGCAATGTTCAACCCCTTCAATTGTGATCACCTTACCACATATAGGAAGGGACACAGATTGATGTATTTTATTTAAAAGTCTTAAAAAAATTAATGTAATACTAAAGTTCACACAAAAATAAACTAGCTGACCAAGATGCATGCCGTTTGCATTAACAGCTGAAATTATGCATAAATATAATTCACAAAGGGACAAAATATGTCTTGGGACCCAGGAGGGATAAGTATTATGTTTACTCATTGCTCTGTCTTTTCTCTTCCTCCTCCCCATCTGTCACATTCATCCACTCCTGACACAGCAGAATGAGGAGAAGACCTCTCCGGCATCAAAGAAACCTGGTAAGGGGCGATCGACTCTCAGCTGCGAGAAGAACGCAGACTCTTCATCCACCTCTTCATCGGCCTCAGCAGAAAAGCAGAGACAAGAGGCTCGCAAGCGCCTGCTGGCTGCGAAGAAGGCCGCCTCATTTCGCCAGAACTCTGCCACAGAAAGCTCAGACAGCATCGAAATTTACGTCCCCGAGGCACAAACTCGCCTCTGAGAGAAACCGCGAGCGAGAAGGAAGAACGGACAGATAAGTGTGGAGAAACGAACGGATGCTGACAGAGTAAAGACGGATGCTGTGTGGGGGAGAGAAGCACCTGAACTTTTAGAGTTTTGACACACACAAATATAGGCTGGTCCTGATTAGAACATAAAATGAGAAGTTGATTTTAATTTTTATTTTTTGTGGACCCAAACAAACTTTGAAGCGGGAGATTCCTCATTTGAGGTCGACGGTGAAACCTCAGCTGATGAACTCGGTGGATATTTGTTCTTGATATAATAAAAATTGTTTCTCAAGGTATTATTATGTCACTTAGAAGCTAAAGAATCTTTATGAGGACTGTTTTTTAAAACATCCTGTATCTAGGCTATAAGAGGTATGACGTGGGCACCCACTTTTCCCAGGTCACTGGCCATCTTTGTAGCTTTGCACAGCACCACCTGGTGGCCATCACGCAATCTGCACCACAATTTCACCCATGTACGTCTTCCTTTTTTCCATTTAACTGTTAGTTATGAAAAATTCCACTTAAATCAGGGTAATCGGATTATTTTTGGTGTGATGAAAACAAGGTTTGGGGTGTTATTTGTCTTGTTTCCCTGTAAGTTATTATTGTGTCCTGCAGAATGTTTAGGGTCAAAGATTTTTAAAATTATTATGACTCTGTAAACTTGGGTTTCTTAATGGTTTTGAATGAAAGTGCATATTAGCCAAGACAGAGGATCTCAGCTTTCTGTCCGCAATATACTTTTGTAGGAGGGATATCTTAACTCCTTTTAGTCTCTTTTAATTTTTTATTCTCATGAAATAACAGATTCATAGTTGATAATTAAGAGATAATTGTTCCATTTGTACTTTAAATAATTTCTAGCGGCATCACTGAGCACTAAACATTTCAAATGAATCTAAGATTTTAACGGAGGTCATGCAGCAGGTTGAGAGGGGAACGTCTCGTTATGTTTTGCTTCCCATCACCCACGTCACTGCAAACCGTCAATAATTTCCTCTCTGAACAGCACCCATGTCCTCAGTCCCTCAAGCATTACAGATAATACTGTTTTTGATCATTTATTCAATCTTGTTTGCTTTTTCTCCATTAAAAAACTGTAGAAGCCAAAGATGATTTCACTGTTTTAATTTCAAACTGTGTTGAAAGGTCAACAGCAGCTGACTGAGAGGACATGAAGAGGACTTCAACTGCAGCAATATATTTAATGCAGGTTTAACATTTTGATAATCACATGGTCGGATGCTTCAACAGAACTGCCCGTTCTCACGACGACAGCGAGCAGCTGCTTTGAAACATTCAAGATCACAAGCCTCCCCTTCGGTCCTGGCCCTGAAGGCGACTGTATGGAGTCGTTTCTGACCTCAGGACTGGGCTCACCCCCTTCAGTCCTGTAGACCAGCACTGATCTAAAGACACGTCTCGTCTGCAGCAAATGGATATCTGAATCAGTAAAATGTTCACATATTTTGGGATCTGTGTTTTCTGCATACGTTACAGTCAAATGTGAGCCGCCTCCCGCTGCCTTTGGCTTGTCTTCCACTAACGTGGTTTTCTTCCAAATGGTGTTCAAACATAAACTTTACTGTCCTGATGGCTTCTGCTAAACTCACGGACCTAAACTGTTGCTCTGCTGCTTTGTTTCTTTCGTCTCACACTCTGTGACCCAGTGTTTAAAACCAGTAGTTATGAATTCACAAAGCATGAAAAGTACCATTCTTCTTATTTTAAAGTTGCATTAGCTGCCTCCTGGTTGTGGGCCATTGTTTGTCTGTTTTGTTTTTCTTGCTCTGGGTGAAGGAAGGAGAATGGCTCAGAGGTGTCAAAAGCATGTTCCCTGACAGCCATTAATCCCCTCTTTCCATTTGACTGGAGAGGTTAGCGTCATTAGCACCTGAAAGCCTTTTGTTTAAGTGGATTTAATTGGCTCCATTTGAATTCTGACTGGAGACAAAGTTGTCTGACAAGGGTTTTTTTTATTTATTTTTTTTAATCAACATCTGTTAAAGTTTTGTTTTAGTTGCCCAAAGTAGCTTCTTTTAATCAGTGAGGTACAGAAACAGGTTGAGATTTTTAAACATGCTTAAAACCACAGGGATGTGTTAATTCTGCTGCTTAATTTCACGTCATTTTCTGTTCTCCGTTTGCTTTTTACAGCCATTTGTTTACCATCTCAGTACGATACTGTATCCTGATGCATGCTCAATACGATGCTGGATGTACTGAATGCAAATAAACCGCGAGGTGTAATTTTTATTCACTGAAGGACAGAAAGCTGCAAACTGAGCTAACAGTTTTAATAAAAGTCAACTCTTTTCTACTTTTTCCATTATTTGGATGTATAAAATGCCGAGACATGTCAGCGACGTGCTTGCAGAGAGTCAGAATAAAGCCTCTCGTGCATATAAACACTACTTGTCTCCACTGAGACACAGTAGTTTCCTGGGTAGTGAGCCAGCTGTGCTGTTGTAAAACCAGCTCCAAGTGAGCAGCAGTCTGCTTTGGTTGAGTTTAATATTGAAAAGTGTTTTGTTCAGTTTGCATCTTAAAAAAAAAAAAAGTCTGCCGCTGGCTTTAATTAACAAAAGTAAAAGAGTGAAGTAATATGTCACGAGTAAAAGTAGAAAAAACTGCTTTAAAGAATCCTACACAGCATCCTGCTTTTCCTTTTAAAACTATATTCAAATATCGGTGCGTTTTTCTCAATTTTTATATATTTGTTGGCCATAGTTAAGTTTTGTCCATACCGAACTATAGAAAAAACAGTTCATAAAAGGTCCGCCACTCTGAACACCTGCTTGCAAAGAACAGGAACGTTAAATAAGTTGCTTTGTTCTTCTCAGACATAAAACGTGGGACTGGGCGAGGCCGAGGTCACGCCAGCAGAGACCAGATGTAGCAACATGCCTCCAAAACGAAATATTTTATGAAGTAAGCACATGTTTTAATGACTAGACTATATAAGATGTTTTGTGCATTGGAGAACAAGAAGCTGTACTTTGTGACACAAAACCGTGTGAGTGAATGTGGTGTTCGTCAAACAAAATTTAACTGGGTTCTTGTTCACTATACTCTGGTAACATTTAGAGGATGTGCTATACAGAGTCTACTAAGTTTATATGATATTAATATGACACTATGTTGCATTTCTCCCATTGTGCTTCTTATCGTCTGTAAATAGGAATACAGAGTAAAACTGTCATATTTACAACGCTGTACACCTACCAGTATTTATACTATCAAGATTGTTCACATGCAGGTGTGATGCTCAATAAAATTCACAAACTACTTTCTCAACATGTTTAGCACGGCTGTACTTGTTGTTTTGTTCTTACTTATCTCGTTCAGACGGTGAGTTCTATGTCGTATAAGCTTTGCCCTTTAAGGCCTTCGCTTTAGTGGGTTTATCCCGTTATGCAGAGCATAAGCACTGAAAAAAAAATTAGTCCACGCCCACCTGCTGTGTGGGCCCCACCCGGTCCGTATAAATTACGTTAAGAGCGGGAAATCGGCTCCCATTTTTTCTTCAGCGAGCTAATATAGCACTGTCAGAAGAACAAAGAAGATAAATTGTGTAAATGACCAACCTTTGCGAAAGATGCTTGGCCCGGCAGTCGACCTCCGGTCGTCCGGTGAGTTCTCCTCCCCGAGGAGAAGATGACAGCAGTCTTATTCCAAGGTAAGCGTCGGGGAACATTTCCCAGTGACAGGTCACTACACGCTGGACAACGCCATCTTGTGTTTTTCCTCTTATCGCCGACCCTCGGGGCGAACCGGATGGTTCCTCCGGGGCAAGGTGTGCTCAGCTGCAGCCCCGCTGCTCTTTCCCTCCTGGGGAGCGTAGTGTAGGTGGAGGGGGGCTGAGTGAATGCTCACCCCATCCCACCTCGTTTTTCGCATCGGCGATCACACCGCTCCCGGCCGACGGCGCCCTCAGGGGTTGCCCGGCGGAACCCAGGAGGAGGCTGACATGAAGGGACCCCTTTTTTTCTACGTCCCTCGCCTTTTCCCGCCAGTTCGGATGATCGGCGGAAAGGTTATTTTTCACTGGGCTCCACTCTGGCTCACCGTCTTGATCCATACGGCCTCGCGTTCCAACAGGACGTTCCACGGGCGAGGCCGCAGACGGTTCTTTCCTGGTAGATTAGAGGAGTCGGTCCCCAGTCCGCTCCCATCACCAGAGTTGAGGGATTCACCGAGCGGGGCTATTCCTCGGTAACCCCCCCCTGGAGCCAAGCCTCGCGGAAGCTTCCGGAGCGAAGCTG